TGGACCCCACCGAGGACGGCTGTCCAAATGGCAGCACCAGCCACCCAACCCCGAGGCCTCCTGGGAACGCCGGGCTTTGCTCATGGAAGGAAGGAGGAGCAAAGGGGCAAAGCCTAACCAGTCCTGTGTCCCTTCCCGTCATCTGAAGTGAGGGCCTGGAGGGGGCAGCAGGATGCTGGGCCTCCGTTCCGGGCACACATGCGCATATTCTCAGAGGTTCCTGGAATCAGACGCTGGTACGGGCTGAATCGTGTCCCCCAAGTTCCTACGTTGAGGTCCTGACCCCCAACATCTCAGATGTGACTGTATTTGGAGACGGGGCCTTTAAAAAGGTGATTAAGGTGAAATGAGGTCACTAGGGTGGGCCCTAAACCAGTGCGAGTGGGGTCTCCCTAAGAGGAGGAGATGAGGACACAGACACGCACAGAGGGACGACCACGTGAGGACACAGGGAGGAGACAACCGTCTACACGCCAAGGAGAGAGGCCTCAGGGGGAACCAGCCCTGCCCACACCTGGACCTCGGCCGTCCGGCCTCCAGCATGGGGAGACAGCAAACGTCGGTGGTTTGGGCCGCCCCGTCTGTGGGACGTCGTGGGGCCGCCTGAGCTGACTATACAGACGCCCGGTTGCCAAGCTGCAGGTCCTCAGGGAGGAATCCAGGCGCAGGCTGAGGGGATGGGGCCTGAGTGCTGGGGACACAGGGACGAAGCAGGCGGGACGCTGGAGACAATACGCCTGGTAACTGCTGACGCCGACGAGCACCAGAACGGCGTGTGCCAGGGCCTGGGGCCAGCTCTCAGCAAGGTCGAAGCCACACTGAAGACCCCCACTTCGAGGGCCGGCGACAGGGGCTGCGGATTTGCACGGCCCCCCGCAAATCCGAGCAAGGCCTCTCACACGCTTCCCAGGGGGCGCCCCCTCTGTGCCAGCTCCCGAGTCGGGTGCCCAGAACCCCAAAATGAAACAGCAGCGACAGGATCCACGGCTCCGTTGCTCTTGCACTGCCTCAGACGTCCCACCTCTGATTCCTACCGCTGCTGGGGGCAGACATCCTCACCCCACCCCCGCAAAGCCTGGTGAGGGCCGGGGGCCAGGGCCACACGGCTGCTGGGTGGCGTGGCTGGGATTTGCACCCAGGTCCCTGAGACCTCAAAGCCCAGGCCCCTGGCCACTCGATTCCTGGCATGCTGTGTGTGGACACTTACCAAAGGGCGGTTCTTGGCCACTTTTGAAAGATGCTCAGGGGGGGCCCTTAGCAGCATCAGACTGGGCCCCATACTCCTCCCCCGGCCCCTCCACCGCCAGGGTGCCACTGGGCTGTGGGGCACCGGGGCCCCAATGCAGGGACAAGGGTGAGGTTAGTGTTGTGGGGTTCCCAGGACCACCCCTCGGCCGGCCGTGAGGCCCAGGCAGTGGCTCTGCTTGTCCTTTAGCTCTGGGGGCCATGTCTGGGGTCCATGGAAACAGCTCAGGCCCTCTGTGTGCACTGATCAGAGGCCTCAGTCCCAGTGACGATCCAGGAGGTGGTGTTCCTGCATTCTGGAGCCACGGCCACCTGCCCCTCCATCGTGGGGTCCCTGCTTCCCCAGACCAGGCTCTGGATTGACCCCCCGCGAGGACTCTCAGGGGTGGGCTTCTGTTCCCGCAGCCCCTGCGGACACTGGGAAGCGGGGAGAGCCGTCAGGGCCCCCAGCAGAGACGGAGGCCATTCTTCCAGGTCTTCCCACCCTGCCGGCCAGAGTGACGGGCCAGAGGGGCCGCCCACTCCTGTCGCTTAGCACCCCTGCCCCCATCCTGCCCAGGCTGGAGCTCTACAGGGGCCAGCCCCAGCCAGGGGGCGCCTGGAGGGCCGCTGGGGAGGAGGGGAAGGGGGTGGGTCCAGTGCTAGCCTGGGATCAGAGTCACAGGAAGTGGGGGGTCAGCTACTCAAAGTGCCACCTGCATGACCGCTGGAGGCCTGGTGCCAGCTCTGAGCCTCCCCCAGGCTGCTCCTCTCCCCTGGACGCCGTGCCCCTTCCCTGGGGTGGGGTCTCCCACGGGGCCAGCCTGTGCCCACACTCTCATGTTTTGTCCTTAAAGGATTCCTGTGACTACCCAGTCCTTTCCTGGGGCCGCACAGCAGGCCTCACCTCGGGGTCAGCCAGAGGCCACCACCACACCCTGCGGGGGGAGGGCAGGGCCTTCGCTTCAGAGCTGGAGTTGATATTCTGAGAACTCCTGAGAGGGTATTTATTGGAAGGGAAGGCCCAAGAGGCAAGAATTTCACCCAGAAAGTTGAGGAATCGGATACTTAGAGAAAAAGCCCTTTCCCACAGGCGGCTGTCTCCTGGCGCCCCACACCTGTGGATTCCTGGCACCCACTGTTTATCTGCGAGAGATTAACAATCTAAAAACAGTCAGCTGTTAGCATGCAAATCTCAGCAGAACCAGGCCGGCTGTGATTTGCATGGGAACCAAAGCTCCTTCTGATATCCTGGGGCCCAACCAGAAGGTTCCCAGTCTTCAGAAGGGCCCCAACTCCCAAACCAGGCCGGGCCTAAGGCAGCAGTTCTCACAGTGGGGTCCCCCGAGGGCGAGGCAGAAATGCAGAGTCTCAGGCCCTCGGGGCGTAAATGGAGAGGTGGTCCATGTTCATGGATTGCAAGACCCGATACTGTTAAGCTGTTGGTGCCTCCCGATTGCATCTGTAGATTCAACTCGATCCCAATCAAAATCCCAGAAGGGTGTTTCGTAGGTGTTGAGAAGCTGATTCTAAAATGCACGTGGGAAAGCGTGGGTAACGGAGTAGCCCACACGGTTCTAGAAAAGATGAAAGCTAGGTGGCAGGCTCAGCAATCTGTGTTAACAAGCGCTCCAGGTGGGTCTGGGGCACAGTCTGGGAACCACCGGGAGATGCGGAGGGAGCCACATCCGCAAGTCCCTTCATTCGCTGAGCCCCGCATGTCCACTCTCAGCTGCCCCTTCAGTCCTCTCCTGGTGGTGGTGGTCGGAGGCGTCTTTGATCCTTTGCCCCTCCCCGCCCAGTTCTTTATTCATTTCCTAGCTGGCCTGAGGCCTCAGTGGGCTCCCACTCAGCCTGACCCACCTGGTGAGCTGACATCTCCATTCTCCAGCAAACACTGACCCGGCTTGCTTCTGGGGCAGGGGAGGGGGCGAATCTGACTGGGCAGAGGTGAAATTCTCTCTAGCTTCAAGGGTCAACTACGGAAAAGGTCCGTTTCGTCCACGCATGAAGAAAGCTTGTTGCTGTCCTTTGCATTTTAAACTCTACCGTCATCCTGGCATCTTTCTTACACCTCTGCGGCCGCTATCCTGGTTCACCCTGACACGTCCTGACAAGACCACGGCCACTTTCTTCCCCCTGGACGCCTCCTCGCCTCCCAGCCGGCCTCCGCCAAGGCTTCCCCCACACGGGCCGGCAGAGTGGCCTTCCTAAACTGTGGCCTGGGAAGACTTACTAAGAATTTCGTGTACTCAATTTTTATTGTTTTGTTTCCTTAATGGCTTCTGGGTTTTCTGTCTTGCTTAGGAAGACATTCTGCACGGTGAGCTTAGAAGAATATCTCCCTTGATTGTCTTCTGTATGCTTCTAGTGTTTAAAAACGCTTTTACTTTTAATTCCTCTGGAAATTGTTCTTGTCTATATGACGTAGGGATCTAACTGCAACTTTTTCCAAATGGATGATCCATTGTCTCAATGCTCTTAAACAAAGAGCCTGTCCTTTGTCATATTTTAAGTTCCTACATACATGTGGAGAGGTTTCCGCCTTCTGCCTCTTCCGCTGGTCTGTCTGTCTGTCTGTCGCCACGCCAGGAGCACACCGTTCAGCTGCCACAGCTTCAGAGCGAGTTTTCACATCCGGCCAGTGACATTCGCCATGGTTGCTCTTTCTAAAGCCATCTTGACAATTTTTGCAGATGGATTTTTCCACCTGAACATCAGAATCAGATGGTCCGGTTTCAAAAACATTTGAAACAAAATGGAGATTTGGTCCAGTTTTTAAAGAAATGACACAAAGCCAAACTCGGAACCTTGTTGGGCTTCTGAATGGAACAGAGTAAGTATCTTAATCCTTGCGGCTCTGGCCAACGGTGATGATAAAGCCTCCTTCTCGGAGAACGTGACCCTCCGTCTGCTCAGGACTTGACGGAGCTCTTCAATGGCGTCTCATCACTTTTAGCACAGAGATCCTGCCTTTTCCTTTAAACTGACTTCTAAGTATTCACGGCTGGCTCACTGAGACGGGGGAATGGGACGTGGCAGGCCTGGGAGAGGCAGAGCAAAAGCCACCACACGTGATGGTGGAAGGAGGGTCTGGAAAGCGCTTACTCTGGGGGGCCAGTGGCTACAGTGGTTGGCAAGCCCAGCCAGCCGAGAGTCCCAGAGCCAATTTCAGCTTTGAGCAAAATGTTCCACTAGACCCCTTCGAGCTCAAACTTGCTGTCCCACTGCACTTGGGGTATCAGGATTCATCTGGAATTTGCTAGGCTGGTGGCAGCATTAAAGGGTGGGTTTCTCCCCCTGCCCCCAGCATACCCCATTCTTGCAGCAACTGGTAGCACTTTTAAAACTCCTGGGGCCCTTTAAGACTTAAAGGGTAAGATGACAGCTTTGACAGGGCAACTTGAGGGCCTGAAGAGGTCTGAGGCTGAAGCTGGACGCCTTGGATAGAACCTTTGGGTTTTCTGCATCCTGCAGGTCTGCAGTGTTGCCTGCTTCTCACACTGAGCATGTTCTGGAAGCAGGGGGACCCCAATCCTTGCAGGTGGCCAGCCATCTGAAAGAGCCCTCCCGGCTGGGGCAGAAGCACTAGCATTTTCTTTGCTCTCACCTGTGCCTCTCAGACCTTCTCTGCTGGGCCTCCTTCCTGCCCCCACGATCTGTCCAGCAGGCCCACAGCTGTACCCCAAAAGATAGTGTGGGTTCAGTCTAACACGACACGAGCATGCAAGGTTCAGGTCAGGAACGCTTGGTAACTGAGTGCAGGCCACCGACCGTTCATTTCAGAGCTATTTAATGTGCATTCTCCATGTGCAGGACTCTGTGTGCCAGCTGCTGGCAGCTGAGCTGGGAACAAGGCAGACACAGCCCTTGTCCCCGGGAAGATGTCAGGACACCTGAGCAAGTAATTGCAAGACAGTGTGAAGACGCTGTAAAAGGGGAGTGCCCGGTGCCGTGTGAGCGTGCGGGGTGAGCAATGGCACGTCTGGGGAGCCTGCTCGGAAGAAGCGAAGCTTACACTGGGGTCTAAAAGAGATACAGGGGTTAGATGAAGAGGGAGAGGAGAGCCCTGGGGATTGCAGGAGAAACATCCCCAGGCTTTGTCAACGTAAGGCCAGACATTAAGATGGTTGGTGACTTGAGTTTTTATCTTTTTTCTTTTAACGCTGACACTTAGCTTTCTGTACAAACACCCGAGGGAGCCACCCCGACGATTCGCGTATAAACACCCAAGTGCGAGGCGGATTTTAGCTATCAGATTCCACCCTAAGTGGGGACACTCCCAGACTGAAATGGATGCCTGTCTACACCTGGGGTGTCTACACCTGGTAGGTGGGACCTCGAGTCATACACGAGCAATGCTGATTTTGTCCAGAAGGAAAGCGCATGGCATGTGCTGTTCTCTCGCAGGGACATAGAAAGACCCTCCTTTCGAGAGGCTGGTCACAGCCACTGTTCTGACAAGACCCTGAAGTTCTTGGTCAAGCCCCACCAGATCAAAGGGATGTATTTCTCTTGACCAAAAAAAGAATTTTTCCTTATCAAAAAAAGGGGTCAAAATGGGACAACCTAGTGGAGACCGCTGCTTCTCTCCCCCCTGTTGAACCCAGGGTGTCGTCTGCTCTTTCCCGTCACTTACAGGTAGGGGGCCTGTCATGTCTGCCTGCGAATGAGAGGTCTCCTGGGACGTGGGACTTTTGCCCAAACTGGGAAAGTCCCCGTCAAACCTACTTGCAGAGTTACGGGGTCGGGAGAAGCGTGTTTTCTAAGCTGGGGAAACGCAAGGTGTGGGAGCCATCCTGTGGATCCCCGACTCTGTCCGCATTTTCAGGAGACAGATGTGAGTGCACTTGGAGAGTCACAACGGCTGCTCTCTGGCCCGCCAGCTCCCTGCCCCTTGGGTGTGGTCTCAGAAGGAAAAGGGAGCTGTGCCCAAAGGAACAAAGTGACCTTAAAATGAATCCATGTGGAACACCGCCGGAGAAGCACAAACGACACAGAATGTGGCGCATCTCCTTACAAGGTAAGAGGATGGGTCCGGGCACGCCTTGGGTGCCAGCGCCAACCCTGCAGACACTGTTGTGTGGCCTCAGGCGAGCTGCCTCATCCCTTCACGTCTGATCTTCAAAGTGGAGATAATGACCCTTGACCTCACTGGGCCCTTGGGAAGATGAAAGGATCAGACTTGTCAAGCAAAGTGCAAAGTGGTTCCTCAATAAATGCAATTATTGTTACCGTCATTGTGTTTATATTACCTTTGGCTTAGAAAGCTGCAAATTGGCTAAATAACTAAACACAGTCATGAGTCGCTTAAGGACAAGGATACATTCTTAGAAATGAGTCATTAGGTGATTTCATCATGTGACCATCACAGAGGGCACTTACACGAACTGAGATGGTAGAGCCTACGACACACCTAGGCTGTCTGGTACTAATCTTACGGGACCGCCATCCTACATGCAGTCTATTGTTAATGGAAACATCGTGATGCAGCGCATGACTGTGTGTAAAATGGTTTAGACTCTATCTTAAAAATAATTCATAACAAACCTCTTAATCTCAAGTTCATGCGCCCCATGCCCAGCAAGCCAAACACTGAGACATCGGTGCTTGAAGATGGAGAAAGGTTTATGCGAGTTGGCCAACATGAGTAGGCGGGAGCCTGGGCTCGCTCAAATCCGCCTCCCCAACAGCAGAAAGCAGGGGGGTTTATAGAGCTAAGGGGCTTGGTGGGAAGAGCTTCCGGGAAACATAGGGGTCACTCTGGCTAAGCCCCTGGGCAATGTGACTTCTGGGCTGACGGGGCTGATGGGGGCTGGCCATCCAGTGACGGCAACCTCCCCAAAGGCATTCTCTTTCTTCTGCAAAAGAAACTCACAAATCTTCAAGACCCCTGAGTCACCCTCAAGTTAAACAGGAAGACAGCAAATTGACAAGACTCAGCTACGTCTGTGCTGGAACAAGATCAAAGGGCAATTCTGTTCTTACTGAGTATCTACAGTAACCCTCAGGTTCCCGGCTTCATAATCTCTATGGATCACTTGGCAGCAGTGCTGTATCAGGACGCGGGAGCCCTTCGAAGGCCCCATTTCACATCATACATATATAGGGAAAGATGTCTATATTCCTCGTTACATTTCTGAAACATTTGGAAAGGTTTTCTAAAACTTACAAAATTTTGAGTCTCATTTAACACAACTTGTTCATTTTGTTTTTGTGATTGTGTTTCCTATATTTGTGTGTACCCATAAGGGTGGAGTTGAGTTCCAATGGACTAATTGACTTCATATCATATTTTATAGACTTGTGCTATCCATTAGGGTAGCTATTAGTCCCGTGTGGCTATTAAAATTTAAATTAATTAAATTTAAATAAAATAGATTGACGTCCGTGAAAATGGTGGAGTAAGGACCTGGGAAAATTCTCTCCCCCATAAACGCAATGGGGACACTGGCAAAAATGGTCAGAATCAACTTATTCAGAACTCTGGAAAGGAACTGAAGGCTTATAACAACCCAGGGAGTGTTTGTTCCAAAAAAAAAAAACAAAAAACGCTGAATCTTCATAAGAAAGGTGAGCCTTATGATGCTGTAACTTACTCTAGTCCTACAGCATGCCTCGCCCACCCCCTCCTGCTCCACAGTGGTCTTGAAAACAAACAGCCTGTGATGATGGTGAAAACCAGCAGCCTGGGAGCCATGGGAGGGGGCCGAGCAGGGTTGGAGCTCCTTCAAAGCCCCATTTCCAGAGAATTGGCCCTATTGGACCCTTCTGCTGGTTCCCTGGAAGATCCCATTCTCAAGGTGGTCTTTATCTGACCTCACTTGGACCTTGCCAAGTGCGAATGGCCTTTTCCCCCTAGAATGTTTGTTAAAAACAATGAGAGGCAACTGTCGAACATCTCGGCTACCTGAGGCCCTGGATAACAGTGGGGGCAAATAAAAGGCTAACTGAAAAGCTTCAGATTTACCAGAAAGGTAAATTTGAAGAATGAGGTGTCCCCAGGGTGATTTGAAAAGCTCCACCAGGCTCCTGGGCCTCTAGAAGGTGATGTGCGTGCACAGGGCTGTGCGCTCTCTCAGGAGAGTCTTGATAAGACTGTAAGCTCTCACCTTGGACTCACTTTCAGGGTCTGCACACGTGGAAGGGAAGGATAAGGCAGAGCTGTAAACGGCCTGACCAAGGCAGACTGACCCCCTTGGCAAAGACTTGGGAGACTTATGTCAAGGAATTAAAGAAATCTCTTTGTAGTCATTAGCTGACTATGGAGCTAACTGAGCAGAGACGTCACTGACCACGCATGACAAAACATACAGAATTGGTTCAGAAAAGTCACTAAACAAATGAACAATGACGATAGCAATGAACAGCAACAACATAAAAGCCAGGAAGAGGGGAGGATCTGATTTCCTGCGTTTCCACATTATATTATTTAAAATATAATAGAAACATACTATGCAAAATATAATTTCAACCAAAACTTACGAGACATACAAAAAAATATGAAATATGGCCTATAGGAAGGTAAAAAAAAAAAAAAAGCAATCAATGGAAACTATCCCCAAGGAAGCCCAGATGCTGGACTTAGCAGAAAGACGGGAATTCAGCTGTTTTATGCTCAAAAAACTAACAGAAACCACAAGAATAATTTCTCACCAAAGGATGCTGCCAGAGCATTTGGACATCCACAGGCCAAAAAACCAAAACAAACAAACAAAAATACTTTGACCTAACTTCACTCCTTATACAAAAATGAACTCAACTGATCACAGCACAGATTTAAAAGTAAAAGGTAAACTCATAAAACCTCCAGAGGGAAGCACGGGAGAAAATCTTCAGGAGCTTGGGCTTGGTGAAGAGTTCTTAGACGTGACCCTAAAAACATGAGCCATATAACAAAGTACTTGATAAATTGAACTTCATCAAACTTAAAAACTTTTGCTCTATTAAAAATTCTGTTAGGAGGATGAAAAGACAAGCTACACACCAGGAGAACATGTCTGCAAGCCACATATCTGACAAAGAACTTGCGTCTAGAATATATAAAAAAACTCTCAGAACCAAACAGTAGAAAAACAAATTATCCAAGTAGAAAATGGACAAAAGACACGAATAGACATTTCTCCAAAGAGAATACATGGATGGCAAATAGGCACGTGAAAAAATGTTCCACGTCACCAGCCATTAGGGAAATGCCAGTGAAAACCCAAATGAGGTGTTACTACCCACCTGTTAGAAGAGCTGGTTAAAAGAAAAAATTGTGGCGTCCAAGGTTGGCAAGAAAGCGGATGCCTGGCAAATTGCTCCCTCTGAGCAAGAGAACTCCCCAGAAGGAGGTGGCTCCCCAAGTCATATGCCACCAGGACATCAGGCTGAAGTCGGTCCCAGGTCAAAGGTCTTCAGGCCACGGGCCCCACGAGCACCTGGGCGCAGTGAGCCATCAGAAGCATGGTGCTCTGAAGGGCTCCAAGCACAGGCCAGGCCTCGGTGCCCACCCACAGACCTCCGACATTTCGGAGCCAACCTCTGGCCAAGGCAGCCATCCCCGCCTTCACAGATAGCGCCGACCCGGCCCTCCCCTGGAAGATGGGTTTCCACCTGGACCGGTGGCCTCGGATGTCTCTTGTCTGGGTCAAGATGCCCTGCTTTTTTGTGTTCAGCCTGTTCTTCTTGCCCCACTTCCTGGCCTTCCATCTGCTTTACAGATTGATTGAATGGGGGTCGGGGGGAGGCGGGAGGGGACGATGGGACTGGTCCTTCCCTTTCTGGAGGTTGGGGCACCACCTGGGAGCCAGACACAGGACTGGGAAGTGATGGCAAGTTTCTGAGTCCACTGTTCTCTCTCTGCAACTTCTGGCCTCAGAGTCTCTGGGTGCAGGGCAGCGGCAGGGCGCACGATAACTGGAATGAAGCAGTTTTCTTCTACTAGGAAACAATCTCTTCCAGCCAGCTCACCTGGGCCTGGCAGAGATGCTGACCGCCACAGGCAGGCGAGGATTCGGGGAGACCCTGGGGCTGGACCCAGCGTGCCACTGGTGGGACAGGGATCCTGGAGCACCGGCAGCGGCACGAGCGGCTGACCTTTGCTGAGTTGCAGGGGAGGCTCCTGGCCGGCTGTGTGTGAGGGACTCACTCGCCCTGTGCTGAGCTGGATCAGACGAGCCTCATTCAGCCAGGTGTCCGGGGACACTCGGCCACCCTGTGCTGCACCGGGATTCGATGCCGGAGGTCTGCCAGGGGCCCTTCCCAGCTGAGTGAGGGTCCGTCGAACTCTGATTCCCAGCACCCGATGGGCTGAATGGGCAGCGTAGGTGAGCAGCCCCATGGGGCGTGGGTCCACGAGGCTCCGGATATGTGTGCAGGAGAGCAGAGGGGCGCCAAGGTGGATGCGGACACGACGCTGGGGCGCAGGGTGTTGGGGAGAGGCCAGGCGGGGAGCGCACTGTTGTCCTGGGCGGAGCTGGGGCGGAAAGGCCACCTGCCCCATCACTGAGGGCACGGCAAGGCCCTGGTTTTATTACTGCCCGCGTCACAACGCCTCCTGTGACGTCACAGCCATGCCCCTGGCTTTCACCCTGGTGCTGCTGGCGTCACCGCCCAGGGGTCAGCCCTCATCCCCCAGGGGCAGACGAGGCGTGCTCTGGCCATCTCCAGGATCGCAGAGCCTTCCTTTCACAGGCGGAGCAACTAGGGGTGAGGGCAGTGACTCGAGCAGGTGGGGCAGCCAGACCCCATGCTCCCAGGACGCACGAGGGGTGGGATCTGAGAGTCGGCAGGGGGCGGGCTGTTGTGCACAGGGTGTGGGTCCTCTCTGGGGCCCCGCCCATCCCTGGAGCTCTGCCCAGGGGTTTCCATGGCGACCCTAAGCCCACTGGGATCCTGACACTGCAACTGGTCCCTTTGCAGCCACGGCTTCTCCCATCTGACAGCCGGTTCTGAGGACAGGAACTCCGGGAAAGGGAGTTGGCGCGCAGGGTGGGCGAGCTGCAGGCGGCCTGGGGCAAGGACAGAGGAGAGGGGAGACTCCAGGAAGAGGAAGGGTCCTCAGTTGAGGGTCCTGGTCAGTGGGGGTGGTAGGCTGCCCGTCTGAGAATGGAGAAGTACCATTTCTGGACAGCGCCCATCACGCCCCTATGCAGCGGTCTGCCCCTTCCCCATCCCTGTGGTCCTCACTGAAGACTTTAGCCCTGCTGGCTGCTGGCACCACGACAGCCCTATCATCATTTTCGGTGACTTCTACATCCGCACTGACAATCCTTTCTATACCTGGACTTGGGGTCCTTGACCTCTGTGCCTCCTGTCACAAACATCGTTGACGTTTTCCCCAGGAGTCATTTCTTTCTTCTGTGCTGACTAATGGTAATGCTAAAAAATAAAATGTAAATTGTTCTGGTTTCCGGATGCAATGGGCTCGGAGAAAGTGGCCCATTCCTGGGGAATGAATCACGACGGGAGGAAATCGGTCATGGTCCTCCCCTTCCGCTTTGCCAGGATTGGTTGGTGGCAAGGAGGGCGTTTGACCGAGTTCTGGCCAATAGGGCCTGGGGGACGGCTCTGTAGGAGGCAGGCCGTGTTTGGGAAAGTTTTATCTCCTGCCTCGCTAAGAAAGGTTGATGGTCGGAATCAGTGGTCGCTCTGTGCCTTTGACCTGGTAGGGTGAGTACGTGATGTTGGCAGCGGCAGCAGCCACAGTGAGACCCTGAGGAAAGAGGTGAAGAGAACCCCACAGGAGGCAGTGCCAAGGCTGCCCCTGCTGGCAGGATGTCCTCATGAGCCCTGCATCCCCCTGCCTCTGGACTCCTTGCCGGTGAGATTATAACCATGTGCATTGAAGCCACTTTGGGCCAGAAATTCTGTGACATGAAGCTGAAGGCACCCTGCTTGATCCCTTTCATCGCCAGAATAATCTCAATAACTTATCTGAATATTTCTTGCGCCAATTCCACTTTCTAACTACCAAAATTTGTGCCTGTCCTGATGAGACATCCAGCCCTGTAGGTCAAAGTCATTTCTCATTCCCTTCGTGTCCTCCAACGTCCTAGCCTCTTTCTTACCTCATGGTCAGCGCTGCGCACGTGTAATGAGCTCAAGCGTGTGATGAAGGGTTTACAGCCCGGGCCACGGACAGAGTGCAATGCTTCACCCACACCGGTATCTCTGCTGGTGTAAAATAAGACAAGAACGAAAACGACAGAGAGATGGAGAGACTGAGCGACCCAGTGCATGCCTTGTGGTCGCTTCCGTGAGAGCAAGGTGGAGGACAAGTCTAGGCCTGGCCTCGGGGAGGGAAGATCCCAAAGATGAAGGGCCCGTGTTTCCGCAACCCCTGTGGGGAGGGAACCTGCCTACAGCCCAGGAATTCGTCTACGTGCAGCCATGGCACTGCGTTGAGCAGAAGGGCTGTGTGGGATTTCTGAGGAGGATCTGGGAGCGAGGCAGCAGCCCCCTTCACTGCCATCTCTTCTTCCTCCTGTGGCTGTGGAGTCCACATGTGATGGCCGGACCCCGTCAAGTGGCGCCTTGATGATGGAAGCCGCGGGAAAGTGAGGGAGCAGAAAGATGGAGGCGGGGCCCCAATCTTGGAGGGGAGAATCCAGGCTTCTTATGTGAGAGAGGACTTCACTTGCTTTCCTCCAGCCATTGTTCTGCTGGCGCTGGGTCATATGCAGATGCACTGATCCCGGGCTCCCCCAGGGCTCCCCTCTCACCCCACAGCTCCCGGGGCGGGGTGTCCTGGGCCGGCATCTTCCCATCAGCTGCTGCGGTCCCAGGAATGGGGCTCCCCAGCTGCCCACGCTCACAACTTCTAAAGCCCCCTGCTGTTCGGCTGCAGTGACTTTTTTCCAGTTCCCAGAACTGGCCTGCCTCCTTCGGGCCCCCGGGCCTCTGCACGGCCTCCTTCCTTGCCCTGGAGTGTCAGCCACCTGGCTAGTCCTGCCCGTCATCCACTCTCAGTCGCTTCCTCCAGGGTGCCCTCCTGGCCTCCCGCTGGCTCAGACTCCCCTGACTTCCTCTTCACTGTCCTGTCACGGTTGTCATCATATATGTGTTTGTGGGTCCGTCTGATTAATGTCTTCTCCAGGACACTGTGCAAGCTGCAAGCAGGCCGCCACGCCTGTGTCCCCTCTGTGTCTCAGTCCTGAGCGTGGTCCCTGCACATGCCGAGTGGTGGCCACATGAGCCTTTGTGTCTCTGCTTCTGTGAGGTCATGATGCTCCTGTCAGCACAGGGGAGCCGAGCATGGGCGTTGGCCTCCCCAGAAGGCCCCAGCACTGATTTCCCACTCAACCCTTCTCTCACTGTACAATTTCAGGAAGATGACCACTGGGACCCTGAAAGTGGGTGCGATGGGAGACCCAGCCCTGGGGCCGTGGGGAGAACCCCGAGAAGAGCACAGGAAAATGCTTGCTCCCTGCCTACCATGGGTCACCTCCTGCCCATCACAGCCCCAAGGTGGCCACACCAGTAACTCTGGATTCCCTCTGCCCCGGTCCTTGCCAGCTGAGGACGTTCCTCCACTTTCCATTCTTGGGGGTGGCTGCTGAAAGAGGTCAGGGGCGGTCCACCAGCCTGCCCAGTGTCCAGTGAGGCCTGAGAGACGCACGGCCACTGCACCCTACCCTCCTCTCTGCTGGCTGGAGACGCCCTTCTTCTCCTCGGGAAGACAGGCTGGAGGTCCTATGGGGCTGAACCCCGGATGGGTGCAGTGATTAGGGGCGGCTGCATCTGGGGTGATTAGGCTGGGTGCTGAGAGCTCGAGGTGGCCAGAAATGACTGGGGGCCAACGGGGAGGATGGTGGAGCAAGGAAGAAGTCCCTGAGTGGACGCATCTTGGGCACAGTCTGAGCAGATGCAGACCCAGGGGCTCCATGAGGGTCTGAGCCTGCCCCAGTTGGCTCGACCACAGCTGGGCGGTGGGTGGGGGAGACCTCGGGGATTGGCAGGTGGTCTCTAGATGTTGCTGGTGTGGGTGGACCCTAGGAGAGAGACTGAAGGTCACTGGAGGGGTTGGGGTGAGGGCCCTGGGGTTCAGCTGGGACTGGCCCAAAGGCAGAAGAGGGGCAGCCTCAAGAGCCAATCACACCAGGGTGTGGGCGGGGCTCTCCCCGTATGACAGGCTTTCTGTGTCTGGCCCTTAAAAAGTCCTGCCGATGTGGGTACAGACACCGCTCGTCCCAGCTCTCCCCATCCTGTACATTCCAGATAAGTCAACACGGTCCTGTCCAGACCCACTCAGGGCTTCGTGAGTTCAAGTCACCACATTCTCTCCACCTCCATTTCCCTTCAACCCCCGTCGCCCTCCCATCCCCTCAAGGGGAACACATCGTCATCTCCACTGGCCCCCAAACCCCCATGGGGGCGCTGTCATAACCTATATCCTCCAGCAGCCATTTCACCTGCCCAACCCCCCAGGGGGAAGAGAGTGTCAGGTTCTCCATTTTTATCACCCACTGTGTCCTTCCACCCAACCACGAGGAAGGCACTGTCAAATATTAGGTCTCCTGAAGGTCACCTCTGAGGACGAACAGTCTCATCCTCTGGGAGTAGAGAACCCGGTCAGTCCCATAGAAATCAGAACTTCAACCTTAGCCAATCGCAGCCTCTTCCCTCCTCCCTGATCCTGAGACCTACCCTTTCTTGTGCGTTTCATCCTCCTGCTCGCTCTGGGGCGCTGGGTCCTTCCTCGGGCTCGGCAGCATCATAGGAAACGGCCAGGCCCCACTTGGCCGTGTCGGACGCCAGACCTCAGGGCCTTTCCTCGGTGGGACCCCTGGCATGAATTGCTGGCCCAGTAGTGCCCTCCAGCTGAGCACCTGTGACGCCCTCAGCCCTGGGCGCCTCTCCAAGTCGGGCCTCCTGTCGCCTCTGATGGTTCTCTCTCCTTCTTGGGCAAGACCCTTTCAAGATGACCCACTCCTGGCTTCCTTTCACGGGTGTCCTTTCGGTATCCACAACAGCCAATAACGAGTGTTGGTGAGGATGCTGAGAAATCCGAACCTCATGGGCTGCTGGTGGGAGTGTCTAATGGTGCACCCGCTCTGGAAAACAGTCGGGCAGTTCCCCAAAAGGCTGGACATAGAGATGCCGTGTGACCCACAGCTCCACTCCTAGGTATATGCCCGAGAGAGCTGGAAACAGGTGTTCCAGCAGAAACTTGGGCACGAATGTCACAGCAGCAAAATTCGCAATAGCCAAAGGTTGGGAACAGCATGAATGTCCATCAGCTGATGGATGGATGAATACAATGTGGTAGATGCTGACAATAGAATATTATTCAGCCATGAAAAGGGACGACGTACTGATATTGATACGTGCTACAACATGAATGAACCAAACACCTCTAATGTATGATTCCATTTATATGAAATTCCCAGAATAGGCGCATCTATAGAGACAGACAGTAGATTTGTGGTTGCCAGGGGCTGGAGGGGGTGTGGGTAAATGGGGAGTGACTGCTCACGGGCACAGGGTTTCTTTCAGGAATGATCAAAATGTTCTACAAATGATTGCGGTTGTGGATAGCTCCGTGAATATACCCAAAACACGCTAAATAGAGGAATTGTGTGATACGTGAGATATGTCTCAATAAAGCTGTTGTTAGAAAGAAGAGCGCAGCCATGGCCTGCCTTTCTGGAGTAAAGCGCCCTAGGGCCGGGAGGGGTGCTCTTGAGCGGGCCCCACTCTGTGAGTATCTGCTCCTCGCCTGCATGCATCTCGCCTGCTTCCTTTCCACCCTTGCACAGGGGCCTGCCTGCCTGGCTGTGGTCCCCTCAGGTCCTTGTTTCCCTACAGCCCCTTGATCCCCAAAGTTGGGGCAGAGCTGCCCCTCAGCTTCCCCCAGAGCCCCCCAGAGCAACCAGGACAGCAGCCGTAGTGGGCTCTCTGCCCGCTGGGTGGTCCCGGCCACAGTGCATTTGCACCGATGAGCTCCTGCTGGTTCGCCTCCAGCCATCCATCGGTCCCCCTGCCTTATTCTGTTCGGGCTGCCATAACAAAAATACCAAGACTTGGGTGGCTTATAAACAGCGGAAATTTATTTCTCACTGTTCTGGAAGCCGAGAAGTCTAAGATCAAGGCACCAGCAGATTCTGTGTCTGCTGAGAGCACGCTTCCTGGTTCACAGGAGACCATCTGCTCGCTGTGTCCTCACGTGGCAGAAGGGGCAAGGGAGCTCCCTGGGGTCTCTCTTACGAGGACACTAATCCCATTCATCAGGGCTCCACCCTCATGACCTCTGAAGGGCCCCACCTCCTAACCCCTTCCCCTTTGGGGTTAGAATTTCAATATCTGGCTTTTGGAGGACACAAACGTCTGTCTATGGCGCCGTCCCTCCCTCTGTCTACCTGCTCATCACCCGTCCACTCGCCCCCCCCCCCCCACCTATCCATCCACCCACCCACCCCTCTCTCCATCTCACAGACTCTCGTTGAGCACCTGCTGGGGTAGGCTCAGTGTGGTGGGAAGACAGCTGAGTCAACAGACAGTGACCACGCGTGCCTGGGGCCAGGGCACGGGAGTCCTCCATTCTGGGTTCTGGAAAACATTAGTCCAACCCCCCTCCCTGCCCTGGGCTGTGTCTCGAGGTAGCTCATATCACCCTGACTGTATTACTCTCTACACCCAAACAGCACCTCTTGGGGTGGCACAGAACAGGCCACCCAGCTCCCCAGGGTCAGGGCTCCCTGTCCTCTGCGCCTCCTCCCGCACCTGCCCTGCAGCTGTCGAGTCTACTCAGCGCCCCCTAAATGCCGCCCCCTTCGCCCCGTACCTTCTCTCCTCCTGCTCTGCTCATCCTCTGAGTCTCTACTCACAGGTCCCCTCCTGGCTGAAACTCCCTCGATGCCGCAGTCTCTGCATCTCCGACCTGTGGAACACGCCCCTCCGATCGCTCTTATCCCCTTGACTGGACACAGGTCCTTTTGGTCCTGGAGTCCGTGCGATTCTGAGACGTGCGCATGTGGGGCTCACCGGTGCTCCAGGCCTGTGTCCTTGCAGGTGCCCCTGGACACTCCAGGCCTGGTGGTTCTTTTGGCTGCTTCTGGGACATCCTGGGGCCCAGAGTAGGGGAACCAGGAGGGGTGCAAAGGGCATTTGGCAAGGGCTGGGGTCAGGGTGCTCGGGGGGCACTTAGGACATGCCTCAGGGCCCTGGAGGCTGCCCTGGGGGAGAGAATGGGGTTCCTCTGCGTGAGCTGCGCGTGGAAACTGGACCCGTGATGGGCGAGGCTTGGGGAGGAATGTCGCGCTGGTCAGAGGTCCCGAAGAGAGCCAATACCCGCCTAGTGATGAGCACCCCGTCGCTGGAGGTATTTTAGCAGGAGCCAGGCCCCACCAGGCCATCAGCCAGACAGAGAGGGCACAGAGGAGAGGTTAAGAGCATGCACATTGTGGTGTTCATTCATTCATTCATTCATTCACTCATTCATTTGGTACCTACTAAATGCAAGACACAGTTCTGGGTTGGAATCTCAGCTCTTCCCCTTCCGTGCTCTGTGACCTTGGGCAAGTCACTTTATTTCTCTGAGCCTGTTTCTTCACCTGGAAAATGTCTGTTTTGCATCTCTTGGCCGGCAGGAAAGAGTGAGTCTGAAAACTGCAGCCTCAGACCGCCCTCAGGGAATTTTCAGTCCCTCGTCAGGACAAGGGGGGATGCTGTTGGTTTTGGGTGGACCCCCTCTGCTGGCCACAGAGAGGGCAGAGGGCAGGAGGGATTCCTACCAGGCTTGCCTTCTGTTCCCAGCTTTACCACCTCAGCCTTCATGTGACCCTGGAAATTTCTGGAAGCGCAGCCCGCAGAGGCCCCGCTCTCCCTGCCCGGGTGGGCTGGTAGCCAGTCCCCACACTCCCAGGGAGGGCCAGCCAGGAGCAGCCCAGCAGACAGCCCCGCATGCTTTGTGGCTGGGCCATCTCGAGGGTCTCGGGTGGGCTTGGTCTGCCGAGAGGTGCAGTGGGAACACACACTGTGGAGGGGCGAGCTGGCGCCCAGGCCTGTGACAGGCGGGGATCCTGCACTCGGGGCCCCTCCTTGGTGGCTGGCACGGTGTGGGAACACTCCAGCTCTGGCTTCACATGTCCCCACAGATTGACAAGCTCCAGGGCCAGTGCTCTGCCCCCCCGGGGTCGGGATTGAAGGCTGATCCATGGGGGACAGGTGACCAAGTTGGGGTGTGCTGGGAACCGAGAGCCCCCACTTCCTTGGGCCCCTCCCTCTCCCCCCAGGCCCGTCCCTGGCCCCTCGGATAGGAGATGGAAGGGGAACGAGCTGGGGCCCCGTGGTGGCCCTGAGTGGTGGCCACATCATGGCAGGAGGTCAGCCCTAAGCCTCCTTCCTGCAAAGGTCATGGAGCGTGCAGCAGGGGCCACGGGCTTCTCTGAAGGGACCCTGGTTCCCTCAGCCTGCCTGGGACCTCCTGCTCTCACTGACCACCCTTTCCCCTCACTCCCACTCTGGGGCACATGTGGCACCTCTCGGCTCCATACTCACTCTGCTCCTTCTGCAGACCCCTCCCTGCCGGGCCCAGGACCTCCCAGACTCCTGCCCTGTGGAAATGGCCCAGTCCCTAACCTATGCTGGCTTCCCAAATGGGCTCAGGGCAGGGATGGGAACGTGGTACCCGGGGAGGGCAGAGCTTGGCCCAGTGCACATCCAAGGGGACACATGTGGCCAGGGGAGGTTAGGAGTCCTGACAAAGAGGTATCCTCTCTCTGTCCAGCTGCGTTTCCCTGGTGGGCTGCGGCGGCTTGGTTTTCGTGGCCAGAATCTCAGTCTGCTGAGGCTGGAAGGACCCCTGGAGACGGTCTCGGTCAGTGCGGCTGGAGGGCCCTGGGCTCTGAGGAGGAGCACCAGGGCCTGTGGCTGGAGCACCTCTGTCTGGATCCGCCTGTAGCTGTGCTCTGTCTGATCCGCCACCTGTGGCAGGGCCCCTGGGTGGGCAGTGCCCTCTAGGAACATGTCAGGCCAGTGTCAGGGAAGGAGATGTCCCCAGCCCTCCTGTCTCCAGCCCAGGGCTCTCCCGCCAGCTTCTTTAGTGGGGAGGGAGGGGGGCTGCTGGTTTGCCCACAGCCTCCCAGCCTCAGTGGAGGGAGAGGGCCGATGACGGGGAGGCTGCTCTGCTGGTAGCTGTGACTCTGGAGCCGGGACACGGCACAGTTGGAGGAGAGAAGAGAGCAGCCCCTGTGCTTTGGCCAGGGCTCTGCACAGGCCCCCATTCATCTTCCTCCTGCCACAAGGTTGTTGGCACAGCGGAGAGGACACCTGCTCCATAAGGCGACTCTGACGATCCCCAGGCAGCACCCAGACCGCAGAGCTGGACCTCAGCTTGGGATGGGCTTTGGGTGTTTGAGAAAGAGTATCCTGTGCAATTTGAGTTAGATCAGAAAGGGACCCACCCATCCACTCACCCATCTAACTTCCAAGCCATCTCTCCCTCCAGCCTTCTTCTGTTCTTCATCCAATCCTCCATGCAGCCATCTGTCTGTCCGTTGGTTCATCCGTCCATTCATTGCATACTTATCTATCTATTCACCCATCTGTTGGCCCATCCATCCATCCATCCATCCTTCCAGTCACCCATCACCCCTTCAATCACCCATCTATTCATCTACCTATCTACCTACTGGTCCACGAAACAGTCTATCTGCTCATAGGTCATCCTTCCATCCATCCATCCATCCATCCCTTCATCTTTCCGTCCCACTCACAAGCATGGCACTCATTCATCCAACTGTCTATCCATTTATCTGTCTGACTGTCCCATTATCCATCCACATATCCATTCATTGACGCAGCCAAGTATCCATGAACAGATATGTCACACGAGGCTGCCATGTTGGTTACAGAGCACAGAATGATGCCGTTTCTTGGATTGTGTGACTATCCCTAATTGGTAGATGAAAACAGGGAGGCATAGGGGGGCAGCACATTTATGGGAAATAACTACGCAGGCTCAGACAGACCTGGGTTCAAATCCTAACTCCACCATTTCATTAGCTGTGTGGTCTGGGGGTCAGTCATTTGTGTCTCTGAGCCTCAGTTTCTTCCTGTATAAAACAAGAATATGAACATTGAGATTCTTCTGGGAGTTAAGGGTAAAGCATGTAAGGTTTTCTGCACATAGTAGGTTCTCAGTAAAAGTTTGTGCCCTGGAGGAACGACAGTTGTAGGAAGGCCTGTGGCCAAGGACCATTCCTTTAGTTTCCAAGCTCCTTGCCACCCTGTGCCAATGGCCGTCTGTCCATCCAGAGCCAACAGCAGGTAGACCTTTGGGGCCACAGGGGGCCATTGGATGCTTGCCACCCAGCTGTGGCCCTGGTCTGGCCTCCTGCTGCCTAAAGGGGCAGCCCTGCCTCTGCCCCCGCCCCCACCGAGGCTGGCTGCGTGTAACTCAAAGGCCCGTGGCCTGCGCCTCCTGCATGCGGTTTCCCTCTGCCCTCTGCCAACGCGGCCCCGTGAGAGCCCAGCTGCCCAGCACAGGATGTGCGCGTGCAAGGAGCGTAACGGAAATCAGAGCCGAAGTCCTCTGAGCTCGTCTCTGCCCTCTCCACCAGGCAGCCTTGTCCTTTCCCCGCGGTAGGTAAATACAGGACTCAGTTTGAGTGGCAACACAGCTGGCCAGTGGTGGCGGGGCAGGAGACTTATGTAATGGCAGCCTGGCGCTTGGCAGCCCCTGGTGGCTACAGGAGAGGGAGGCCTCCTCCGGGATGTGGCGGGACCCTGGTGCCCGCCCTTGGGGGGTCATTTGTTTGGACCCTGGGGCCTCAGATGGCTCAGGCAGCAAGGATGTCCAGGCTCAGGGCCCTGCCTGCTGGCCGGGCTCCCGGCTCTCGGAGCAGCTCCTCTGGGGAGGGACCCAGGCCTACGGGCTCCCCAGTGCCCAGCAGGCAGCCACACGTTGTCTCATGGAATGCTCCCATCGTCCCAACTTTACAGATGGGGCGCTGGCCCTCAGAGGGGAGACGTGCTGGTCCAAGCTCCCTCAGACTCAGCCACACTCAAGGGCTGAGCCCTGTGGTCTGGGCCGGCCGAGGCTCTGCGTGGTGTCTCTGCGATCTTCCCCAGCCCCACGCCCCGGGAGCTCCCAGACTGGCAGCCGCTGGCTCTGGTGGGGCAGCCAGGCTATGATGGCTCCCTCCTCCCACCGCCTCGCCTCCCCTCCATCATGCTTCTCTCCACCTCACTTCCATCTCATCTCGAGGAAGTCCCGGGTGCCCTGCCCAAATGCGCTCAGGCTGCCCCACCTGGGAAAGCCTCCCAGACCCCCCGAGGCCCGAGGCTCAAGGCCAAGGCTCTGGAGGCACTGTGGGCCTCAGTCTCTTCTTCTGCCCTTGGAGTCTCCTTGCAGATTAAGTGAGCAAGCCATTGTACAGCTCCTCCCGTGTTCCCCGTATGCGGAAAGGGCCCAGCACGCCCAAGTTTGCAAATCCTATCGCAGAGGGAGACCGATACGCCTCACTCCCTCATCAGAAAGCTGCTTCTGTGGCTACGCTTATTTCCCTTTGGCCCCCTCCCCACGCAGGTCCAGTACCGAAGGCAGTGAAAAACCACTGAGGGTCCGAGTGCGGGGGTAGGGGGGGGTTGTCGGAAAGTTGAAAGAATAAATGGACATGTGACTTAAGGCAAGGGGGAGGGGGAGAGAAGGAGAAAGAAAGAGGTGGGAGGTGGGACAGCTGGGTCACCCCCACAGCCTCTGGAGTCAGACTAGGGCTCATGTCCCAGCTCTGCCCACTAGAGCTGTGTGACTTTGGTCAAAGACGGCACCTCTCTGTGTCTCGTTTCGATTTTTTATCTATAACAGGAATGTCACTGTACCTACCCCGTAATGCTGTGGTGAAGATTAAGCCAAACAATCGTGTGAGCACCTGTCTTAGTGTCAGACGCCTGCAGGATTTGACACTTGAATTTCCTCCCTCTCTCTCCCCCCGACAAACCTGGCTCCAGTTCCCAACAGGGCCAGGTCCCCCCACGGCCATTCCTGCGCCGGGCGTGCCCCCTGCCTCCCACCCGGCCCCCCCTTTGCCAGTTAGCGTCGCCCGGGTCGGCGCCTCTCCCAGGTATGTCCTGGTTATGTAATCGCCGCCGAGTACACACCGACTCACGCTCTTCCCTCGCTCGCTCATGTTTACTCTTTGGCTCAGGGAAGAGTTCCATTCAGAAGAAATTGCTATTGTTTCTCAGGCTTCCCATGGGAAAGTGGCGTTAGGGAGGAGCCCCATGAGCTGGCAGCGGGGGGGACGGGAGGAGGAGGAGAGAGGGAGCAGGTCCCTGCAGGGCCCAGGGCTTTCTAGATACACACACCGCTTACCATTTACTTTATCTCTGTAAAAACAAAAGCCTCAAAGAATTTTTTTGCATGACCTGATGTTTTAATAAACCTGGAAGATGGCTGAGAACAAGGCGGGCCATTACCTCACCCACTTTCCGAGTCGTGACCTTTTACTGCTCTTCTTACCATATTTGGAGGCCCTTTCGTTCATTCATGCATCCAAGCGTGTATCCATCTGTCCATCTACACATCTATCCGCCACCCATCCATCCACCCACCCACCTGTACCAACCCAGCCCTTCATCTACCCATCCAGTTACCTAGCCATCCATCCGTCATCCATCCATCCACTCACCCATCCATCCTCCCACCCCTCCATCCACCCACCCCTCCATCCGTCCATCCCTCCATCCATCCACCCCTCCGTCCACCCACACACCCATCCATCCACTCCTCCATCCATCCATCCCTTCCTTTGCCTAACATGTACTGAATTAATAGCAGAGGAAATACTGGACTGGAAATCCTGTGCCCTGGTGCCCATTCTCAGCACAGACGCTGTGCTGGAGCAGAGCGCTCTCTGTGGATAGCAGGTTTGAGAGGGATGCCTACCCAGGTCTGAGTCTCAGGTCTGCCATTTTCCCTCCTGTCCTGGGCCAAACCCTTCCCCTCTTCGAGGTTCAGCCTCCCCATCTGTGAAACAGGGCAATAATGGTATTTGTCTTATTATTTTGAGGGTGCAATAAGAACATGTATGTGAGAATTCCTGGAATCACGTGAGGTTTCCAGTGGGGGCTATTCTGGTCCCAGGCTTTGGGTGGAGGATGCCAAGATGGGGCAAGAGAGAGCCCCGGCCTTTAGGGCTTCCTGGGTAGTGGAGAAGAAAATGCACCCACCAGCATCAGTGGGGTGTGTGCTGGAGTGGAGGTGGAGAACGAAAGGGATGAGGCTGCAGGGGCAGGTGGCAAAGGGCCTTGGTGGAAGGACTCGATGAAGGGTTTCGAGCAGGGTAAAACATGGCTGGCTTGATGTTTTGGAAGGCGCTTTCTGGCTGCTGTGTAGGGAGAAATGCTGTGTCTTAGAAATGGGATCCCCCTGGGAGGGAAACCAGTTCAGAGACTTGGGGTTACCTGGAGTAAAGACCATGAGCCTGAAGGAGAGGGGAGTGTGGCGTTAGACTTCACAGACATTTTTTTCTCCTAAATGCTGAAACTGAGCAGGCACCAAAATCAACGATTTAGGCCTCAGGCAACCTAGGTCACGCCAGATCCCTTGGTCATTCAGTAATGCAGCAATCGCACCTTCCCTTCCCATCCTGTGTCGCTGACAGACATTGCTAATCAATTGCAGCTCTCCTGCTGCCAGTTAAACACGGTTATTTAAATCTAAAGCCAATCAAATGAAACAAAATTAATAATTCCGTTGCTCTGTTGCAATAGCCACATTTCGGGTGCTTGATGCCTGCATGTGGCCGGCGGCTCCGTACCGGACGGAGCAGAGACAGAACGTTTCCATCCTCGCCCGTGTCCTCTGGGCCTGTGCCGGCCTCCGTCAGGCAGCCCCAGCCAGTCCCTCCTTGCTGGAAAGGACAACGAACGCTTGCTGGGCCAAGGAGGGGTGAATTCTGCCAAACCCCGGACTTGCCTGTGGTCACAGCTCGTACAGGTTTTGTTTCTACCTGAATTTTGCATGTGGCAAGGTCACATTTAAAAGGGCAAAGTCCTTCCAAGCTGGCCCTTCTCGAGTTCACTTTCTTTCTGTCTCTTAAGAAAAAAAAAAAAAAAGAAATGAAAAGACTTGCCTTGCCACGTGGCCGCAGGCGTAACCGGCGAGCTCTTCCCTGCCCTGTGCTCACCTCCTTCTCTGGCCTCCGGAGACTTGAGGCTTCTGTTTTTGCGTCTATTTTCAGCGCCTCCGGCGGAATGGCATTGCCGCCGCCGAAGGCTGACATTTCATCCTCTGGGAACCTTGACCTGTCCCTTTTCCGGTTGTGAGTTGAACCTGCTTTTTCATGCCTCAGAAGGGAAGAACAATGATGGTTAATAATCGGCATCTTCTGGAAAATCGGAAACGGAGCCTCCGTGATCCGAAGCTGCCCTTAACCCCAGCTGTGTGGCCTGCAGCCGCCACCGCACGGCGGATCTCCCGAAGGTCCCCGGGCTGCCAGGGTCACACCCTGGGGCCGCCAGTCAAGCCAAAGCAGGGCAGGTGGGCAGCAGGCAGTGGGCTGGACACAGGACCGGGGGATGGAGGAGGCTGAGGCAGAGCGATAAAAAGTTGGTGGAGAAGCATTTGCAACTGTGTAGAGAACTATGGCCTACCTCCAGAGACCAGTGCTGGGGACACCCTCCCAGGGTGGGAGGTGGGAGGAGGAGAGGGTGTCTTGCTCTGGGTTGGGGGGGGGTGTCTCTCCTGGGCTGGGGAGCTTGATGGATCCAAAATGCCTGAGCCTCTGACCCTGGGCTGGGTCCTGGGGACAGAGAGGGGAACGAGGACCATGTAAGTGGCAGGGTTATGGGGACAGAGAAGGAGCAGTGGCGGCTGCTGGCTCAGAGGTGGGGACGGAGGGGCGTGGGGTCTGACACCTGCTGGCAGGGACAGACGAAACTGGAGGTTCGCCCAGCGCCCCTGCCTCCCCCTGGTGTGCAGCCCCTTTGGGAGAGGGGAACTGAGGCTAGCCGGGCCTTCAGGGAAGAGGGGCGGTGCTGGCCGAAATCCCCTTGACAAGCAAAGCAAAGGTCCCGGGAACAATTCCTCCCTTTCACGCCCGCGACCTGGCAGGAGCCTGCTGGAGCTGACAGCGGGGTCGGCCCCTCCCGGTGGCCCAAGACAAACAGGGCGGCAGGAAGTTCCCACGGTCCCGGCCGCGTCTGGAGCCTCCGCAGTCACCTGGCCGCAGGGCTGAGGAGGAGGGCGGGGCCTCGGCCGCCGCAGGTGAGCTCTTTCGGAGCCACACTGCCTGGGGCAGGAGCTGCCGGTGCGCCTCTGCTGAGCACCTGCTCCAGCCACGTGGTTTGCAAGCACCGTCTCAACAAATCCTTGTGACAGTCCTACTAAGTTAATATTACAACTTTCGTTTCACTGAACCTGAGACCCAGAGAGGTTAAGTGACTTCCCTAGGGTTACACAGCCAATACAGAGAAGAGTCGGGATTTGGACTCAGGCTCGTCGAGTTCTGAAGTCTGTACTCTTTAGTCTTGTCATGTGTTCAATCGGCAAAACTTTGAAGGATCCCTACTGTGTGCCAGGCACGCTGCCTGGGGCTGGGTTGGGGACGTAATCAGGTCGATGGCCCTGAGGGTTGCCTGCTGCCCCATATCACAGCAGGAGTCCACCGTGAGCAGGGACCCACGGTTCCATCTGCAAAGTGGGCAGGTGGGTCCCTGAGCTGACCTCTGAGGAATATGCTAGAAGGTTGTGGCAAGCCAGCACAGCCGGACACGGGGTGAAGGCAGACTCGGGGCTCCCAGGGGTGCAGACAAGAGCCCCCTTGCCCTCAGCACCCAGAACAGTGCCCGACACACACAGGTGCGTGGGGAGAGCTGGCTGAACAGTTGGGACCACTGCTGGGTCATTAGTCATCACTGCCTACCCCAGGGACAGAGGCTCCCGGGGCTCCCTGGGGTTTGGGGGTCATTGGGCCTTCAGGTCTCAGAGGACCCCTGGAAATAGCCACACAGCTGCCTCTCAGGGACCCCACCATGGCTGGTCCTCCCAAACGGGGCAGTAGGCCAGGGGCACCGTCACACCAGCTCTGGGGCTGGCCTCCTCAGAGCCCACGGTCAGGACGAAGTTAGGCCAGGTCGGCGGGGCACAGCTCTGGCTGGAGTCTGGGGCAGGTGCCAGCTGCTGGGGCCCAGATGACGGTCGGAGCCCGGAGGCCTGGAGGGAGGGTGAAGCCCTGCTGAGGGTCCTGGCTGTGTGGCCTCAGGTGAGGCTAACGCCCTCTCTGGGCCTCCAGCCGTGAAACCAGTGTAACCCCAATGGCCCCTCCCACCTCTCAGAGTCCAGATTCTCAAGGACAGGAACGGAGTGTGTCGAGACTGCATAACAGGTGCTCAGGAATGACTCCTCCCCTGTGGGCAGGTCTCTGACCACGTCCTTGCTCGGCCAGCCTCCCACAGCCTCCCGGCTCCGGGCTGCAGGAACGGGGAGTCAGGCCCATGGTCAGGGGCCCGATCCTGGTGCCCTGAGTGTGGGACAGCCCTGCCCACTCATTTCTTGCAGCCCCCACCTCCTTCTGGACCTGCCCACCCATTTGTCCACCCTGGTAGCCACCTTCACCAGAAACCAAGTCAGTTAAAAGGGAACCCTCTGGTCACTGGCTTTACGGCTGTCCCCCCAACCCCCAACCCAACCTGTCCTTCCTTTCTTGGGGGAGGTCAAAGGGCATGGGGGGTGGGGAGCTTGTTGGGTCTGCTGTTTATTAGCTGCATGACCCTGGACGAGGTAAGCACTTGTTGGTGACTCAGAGCGAGCCGAGTGACACCAGCCCCGCTCGGCTGAGCCGCCGTGACGACGAAATGCCCACAGTGGGTAACACGCATTATTGCTGTAATGAATTGTCCTAAAAAGCCCACGACGCCTAATTGTGTCCGATCGCACTCAGGGTGAAAGGTTACCGTGATTGCTGAACGCCAAATTAACGAAAAATGTTGTCTTTTGCCGTTTTTCATTCATGCCGGCCTCCTTTTGTCTGACCAGCCCCGTCCCCTGCCCGTTTTCAGTCGCCCATTTCTCCCTTATTTATGAAGCCCTGATAACACCTTTTTGATAAAAGGGAAACAGAACTTGCAGCGGAGATAAAGGAGCGGCCGCGGCCTTTGTCGGCTGTCCTGGGCAGGAGCGCTCCACATTCCGCGTTGTTTTCCCACTGGAATGTGAAAAAAGAGGCGTGAAATATTTGTCCAGATTATTTCTCATTACGGAGCGTTCCAACAACCACAAGCACGGTTGGCCGTGTCTCCTAAGCACCTCCGGAGGGAGCGGCTAGTCTGGCTAGTGTGGTGTGTGGGAATAAAAGAGCCCTTGCTTGCTCACTGCCCGCGTTGGGACCAGGACGCCCGTGTTCCCCCCCCCGGACGATGCGTCTGGCCAAGTCACCTGCCTGTCCTGCTGCCCGGGCCGGGTTGTGGCAGAGGCTGAACTGAGCTCTGCCGTGCGCCAGGCCCCTTGACACACGCGGCTGTATTCTTTCTCCTGCATGGGAGAAACAGTTAATTATCCCTTTTCAGAGGAGGAGACCGAGGGTCAGAGTGGGTATGGGAAACTTACTCGAGGTCACACCCAGGGAACACATTTCAGATCCGTCTGATGCCAACATCCAGTTCTTGCTGCCACAGCCAGAAGTGCTGTCATTCACCTGGTCCCCTTCTCCCCAAGTCCCCATCACGCTTCCGAGCGGCATACGTCAGAGAAAGATGCCTTCTGAGGCCTGCACACCCATCGTGTCCCCTACACGGGATGATGGCCTGGCGTGAGCCTCTTGCCTCAGTCGAGACACAGGCCCACAGCTGCTTCTAGGGTATGGGTTCCGTCTCCTCGCAGTGTGGCACCCCACCCGGCGGGCCCACCCTACACCTCCAGAGCATGCCAAGTCTCAGGTGGCTCTGAAAATCCTCTGACACCACACACCACTGGCCACTGGCTGCTGGTCTTGGAGCAGAACGGAGAGGCCTGGGGTGGTGGCTGGTTCCAAACAGCCTCTGATGGTCCTCACCTCTTGGTGTTCACGCCTGGTGTAGCCCCTCCCACCTTGAAGAGGGCTTACCTTGTGCCCAGTGGGATGCTGTGGAAATGACGGAGTGTGACTCCCAAGGCCACGTCGTAAGAGGCATCGTGGCTTCTGCCTGGCTCTCTGCAGCCCCTCGCTCTGCGGGAAGACATCCACCACGCTGTGAGGGCCCACACGCAGCAACTGAGGCCTCCTGTCAACGGGCACGTGAAGGAGCCATCTCGCAGGTGGGTCCTCCAGCCCCGGTCAAGCTTTCAGATAAATGCAGCCCCAACTGAAGTTTGGACGATAGTCTCCTGAGCGACCCTGATCCAGGACCCCCTGCTCAGCTGCTCCCAGGTCCCCAACCCCAGAAACGGCAGGAATAACGGATCCTTGTTGTTTCCAGCTGCTCAGTTTTGGGGTATTTGTTATGCAGCCAGAGATAACCGACACGTGATGTTTGAATTGTCAGGGGACCCAGCTTGGAGCCTCGGTTTCCTCCTCTGCAGGACAGGATACTCCTGACTCCTTTAGAGAACAGTACTGAGAACGGGAGGGACGTGTGTTTTGGGCATCTCCTGCCTGCGAGGTCAGCAGGGGCACCTTCTGACATCCCTCTTGTGCCCCGACACACACACGCACACGTACGCGCACACACACGCATAGACACACACACACAGACACACACACACACAGCCACAAACACAGACACAAACACACACACATAGACACATGCACAAACACAGACACACACACAGACATAAACACACACGCACAGACACACACAACGGACACATGCACAGATACACACACAGATGCAAACACAGACATATAGACACACAGACACACACACACACACACACCACCCCCCCAGCCCAGTGCTGAAGGGGGCACTCTGGGTTCTCAGCCGCTGCTGTAGAATCAGCAAATAAAGCAAACGATTTCTTCTTTTAATTTTTAAATTTCTAACTGTGCTAAATATACATAATATGAAATTTACCATCTGCATCTTTTTAAGAGCGCAGATCAATAGTGTTCAGCACATTCACACTGCTGTGCAGCTATCACCACCGCCCATCTCCACAGCTTTCCCATCCTCCTAAGCAGACACTCTGCCCCACTAATGCTTGCTCCCCACCCCCTGCCCAGCCCCTGGTGCCCACCGCCCTCCCTTCTGTCTACGGATGTGACCCCTCTGGGGACGTCCTATGAATGCAGTCATATGCTATCTGTCCTTTGTGCCTGGCCTATGTCACTCAGCACGGAGTCTTCGAGGTCCCTCCGTATTGGAGCCAGGGTCAGGCTGGGCTTCCTCTTCGGGGCTGAGTAATATTCCACAGTGAACTGACGCTCCTTCCCCCAGCACGAGACCGTCGGGTCGGGCACGGAGTCTTAGCTCTCTGTTTCTTCCCTGTGCTGATCTTGGACCCTCGCCCCGAGTGAGCCCAACTCAGGATGTATTTATGGAAGAAAAGACTGGAGGCCAAGCACCTGGGTGTGTGCCCTGCTTCTGCCACTTGCTGGCTGGGTGGGCTCGGCAGGTGGCTGCTCTCTCTGAGCCTCTGTCTCCTCAGTGACTCACTCACGGGGCCGCTGCAGGCATAAATGTGAGGACCACCCTGCAAAGCGGGGGTGCATGGGGGTGCAGACTCTTTCTGAGTCCACCCCAAGCCCCGAAGTGGTGGCCGTCCTCTGCCTGACCCCAGCCTGACCCATCCACCCTGCAGCAGGGGGCCGAGTGGCAGCTGCGGCGTGGTCTCCGCACGGGGTACGGGATCCTTCCGTCAGCCCATCTCCTGGGATGAGGCATTGACCCCCACGCTCTGGGCCTGGTCCTTCCTCTGATCAGACCCTGAGCCGAGCAGGCAGGGAGCGCGAGAGCGGGCTCTGCACCGTGTCATTTCGGACGTGTGATAACTGCTGGGGAGACCGAGGCTCTGGATGCCTGAGGGGACGAGGACAAGGGTGTCCGAGTCGAGAAGGCGAGCATCCATCCAGGGGGCTGTGTGACCCCAGGCGAGTCCCCTGGAGGTGAGAACAGGGGCTGTGGGGGCAGACGAGACGGCCTGGCTTAAACCTCCGGGCAACCCCGAGCTTCTCCGGTGGCCTTGGGGACCTCATGAACGGCTCTGACCTCGGTGTCCCTGTCTGTACCCGTAACGGTTCCCATCCTTTTCTGGGGCTGTGGTCGGACTGGACCCACTGAGGCTGGGGGTGCTTGGCACGAGCTCAGTCCCCCGGGAGCCTTCCTGGCTTTGTCCCTGCTCTGTCAGCTTCGGTGCCTTTGTCTGGAAACTGGGGAGGCCCCTGCCCCTTGAGCGGCCCGTGCATCGCTTTTCTCCCAGCCGCTCTAGGTCTGGGGGGCCGGTCAAGCCATCTTTCCCGGGTGGGGAACTTCTCAACCGTGTTTCTTCCAAACTTTGCCCCCTCCCCCGTGAGCTCCAGGTAGCCGACCCTCTACCTGCCTCCCCACTTGGGTGGCTCACGGGTACGCGCACCGGGCATGGCCCCTGTGGGCCCTGGGTTTCAGGCCCCCTGCCCCTTGCCCTGTCCTTGCCGTCCCCACTCAGTAAAGGTACCACCGTCCACCCAGGGGCTCAGGCCAGAACCGCATCGTCGACCCCTCCCAGCCTGCACTGCTCAGACCCGGCCCCTCGCCCAAGCCGACCGCTCTCCCCTCCTCTATCTCTCTCTGTTCCATCCCACCACCACCCTGGACAGGTAGCCATCACCCTCCCTGGAGACCTGGGTGCTCTCACTGCTTGTCCCCTACCGTCCGCTCAGAACCTTTCAAAAATCCCCAAATCCAAGCCCTGTGGGGGCCTCTCTGCACACATGTGCCCCTGGCTCTTGGTGTGTCAGCCTCACTGTGCTCCTTCCAGTGCCTCCAGTAACCTGGATTCTTTACAGCCCCAGGGCCTTTGCACTTGCTGTTCCCTCTGCCCAGAATGCCCTTTGCTCCATTTCCCATATCGCTGCCTCCTTCTCATCCTAAGGGTTCCTTCCTCAGGGGGCCTTCCCCCTGTCTGGACCTAAGAGTCTGAACGAGAAAAACCCGTGGGACACCACATTGCCCTGTTTCTCCTCTGCTCTCCCGCTCTGCTTCCAGCACACTTCTGCCCACCAAGGGTGTGCGTTTTCCCCCACTTCACGCAATCCTCATATTCTCCAGACACCAGCTGGGTGTCCTCCGTCGTGACTCAGTTCTGACACCATTTGCCTGGAGACGGGGCAGACCTCACAGGTTAAGGGCTCAGTCCCACAAGTCTGCCACCACTTCAGACCCCCGTGGCCAGTCCAGGTTGTCACCTGTGCTCTGTCCCTCCCGCTGCAACTCAGAGCCTCCCGCGACCCCTTCCTGGGGTCTGAGAATTGCTTGCAGAACTCAGGAAAACAGTTCAGTCACTAGATTACTGGTTTGCTGTGAAAGGATGTAAGTCGGGAACAGCCAGATGGAAGAGATGCTCAGAGGCGAGGTGGGGGCAGAGGGAGACGGGGCTCCCACGCCCTCTCAGAGCGGCCACTCCACCGCATCTCCGGTGTTCGCCAGTGGGAAGCTCCCGGAACCCTGTCCTTTGGGTTTTTCATAGGGACTTCACTACATACGCAGATTGATTAAGCCGTTGGCCACTGACAGTCAAGTCAGCCCCCACCCCGAGGCCATCTGGGGTCTTTCCAAGTCGCCCATCCATGTAAACGCAGGTGTGGCTGAAAGGCGCTCGAACTTCTCGTGCTTCTCCACATCTCTTGCCTCTGGGCCTTTGCACATGCCGCTCCCTCTGCCCGGAATCTTCTCCCCACCCCCCCCCCCACAACTTCCCTGACCTCTGCTTCTGTGGGGCCCACTCTGTCACCCCTTCTTGGGTCCAGAGGAAACCCCCTGTCCCAGCCTCTCTGAAACCGTGGGCCTCAGTTTCTCCAGATCGCTTCTGCTCCAGTTAGAACTGGGTGCGAGTTCTCCTCGTCCCTGGGTCCCACCACATGGCTGGAGGTGTGTCACCTGGATCTCTGCGTCCCCACCGGAGGACACTCAGCTGGAAGACCCTCGCTGGACCGTGGCAGAGTGAAGACCAGATCTCCGTGTGTGGCGACACTCAGGTTTGAACTTGTTTACTCCTGCGGCACCGACTCGCTCGTCCGGACTCAGGACGTCCCACCTGAGACAGAACTCGCCCTGGGAAGATGCTGCCTGTCCTGGGTGGGACCAGGCACCTCCCCTGCGCTCCCCCAGCACGTGGCCTTTCCCATCATGCCCCAACAGCCCGGGGACCCCCCCACCCCTGGGCTGACAGAGAGCACCCCAGCCAGGCGCATGCGCACGTCCCAGCCCCAGGCCCGGCTCCGGCTGCCCTCCCCGGGGCTCCCGCTCTGCTTGCCGAGCCTGTCGAGCGACTGGGCTTGGCAGGGACCCAGCTGTCCTCCGCGTGCACATTCTTCTCTGCAGAGGAATGTCCCGGATCCAGGTTCCCACAGAGGTGCCTGAGCCCAGGGGAGTGCCTCTCGGGGCCCTGGCTATTGTTCCGCTGCAGAAAAAGCCGTTCTTTTGAACTCTGCTGAGCGAGCCCACGGACGGGGCAGAACCGAGACGCAGGAATTCCTGGGTCAACGGGCATTCGCCCGGGCAGGGCTGACCTCCTCCCGCGGGTCAGCAGCAACGTTGTTGAGTGAAACCCATTCTAATTAAAGGGCACATTAAGCAGGGGCCTTTTAAACATGGCCATTTCCTAAAATCCTCTCTTGATACCTATTAATTCCCCTGAGGAAGGAGCGGGGATGGGGGAGGGGACCAGAGACCCCCTTGGAGAGGTCTCCCGCCCCCAGTCACTCACTCGGCATTTCTCTGGAACTTTATCTCAACAGTCCTCTGAAGGCTCCGGGAAGCCTTCTGCAGGCCTCAGTTCATCAGCTGATTAATGGGATCGCTGTTCCTTAGCCGCCCCAAGTTCCCAGGAGAGAGATGGAGATGGGGAGAGCCTGCGCAGGGCAGCCGAGAGGTGACACGGCCGAGACATGGTGTGGGTCGAGATACGAAGGGTCTGAAAGCAGCTTGGGCCCATGGAGCTTCCCTCACTCATCGGACATTAATTGAGCGCCTTCTGTATGCAGGTGCTGTCCCAGACACGGGGACGGAGCACCAAACAGGACTGTGTGTATGTGTGTGCACATGCATGAGAGAGAGAGAGAGGTGGGTCATTCCACCTTTGTACTAGTTTCTACGATTTTCCAAGTGTCTTCACCGAAAGTGGCGGGAGCAGGGAGAGGAGGGTCAGATCCTGGTGGGCTTCCTGACAAAGCTGGGTGTCTGTCTCATTGAGAACAGTGGCCCAGACGCCGCACATCCCCAAGGGTCAGTCGCCTGAGTACTGGGTTGAGGATTCTATGATCAATTAGTCATGTCTGCCAGGAGTGCAGAACAGACACCAATGGTATGTATGCTCCGCATGTGTGACTCTGCTCTAAAATCTAAAATTGGAGCTGCGTTTGAGGAAAAATCATGAAAGCAACTGGATAAAGCCATTGAGCTTTCTTATGTCAAGGGCCTGGAGTAGCTTATGACACATGTTACAATAAAAACCCACATTGCCCTCCCCCCTAATACCCACAGTCACCTGATGGCCTCAGACATCTGTGAGGGCTAAGCCTACACGGAT